ACCTTGGTCTGGTGGTCTGGTGTCCTCTGCGTCTTTGTAGTGTGGAATCAGGTGGCTGCCTGTCTGCAACGGGGTGATTCGGTGTCTTCTGCACGACTCAGGACCTCAGTAGGGCGTGCACAGAGCTGCCTGTCTGCAGCGGGCTGATTCGGGTGATCTGTGACTCAGGACCTAGATAGGGCATGGGCAGACCCGCCTGTCTGCAGCGGGGCCTATCCTTTTTATTTTTTAAATTTGAGACAGGGTCTTGCTTAATCACTAAATTGCCTGGGTTGGGCTCAAATTTGTAATTCTCCAGCTCCAGCCTCCCAGAGTGCTGGGATTATAGTGTGTTATCATGCCCTACACCATGCCTGGCTACATTTCTTTTTAAACATTGGTGCCTGCTGTTATTCAATGTGATGTTAATTTCTTTTCTTTTCTTTTTCTTTTTTTTTTTTGGTACCTGGGATTAAACTGGGGACCTTGTTCTTGTGAGGTAGGCAGACGGTGGCACCACAGAGCTCAATCCTCAGCCCATAATGTTAATTTCATGTGTCAACTGGCATGGGCCATCGTGCAGGGATATTGGTTAAACATTCTCCTCACTGTTTCTGGATGAGATTTACATTTATACTACTTGACTGAATAAAGCTGATTGCCCTCTATAATGTGGGTGGGCCTCAGCCAAACAACTGAAGGCCTGACTAGAATAAAAGGTCAGCCCCACCCCACCCACACCCACTCCCATCCTCTTCCCAGCAGGTGAGAATTCTCTCAGCAGATGGCCTCTGAACTGTACCTCTCCTGAGACTCCAGCTTGCTGGCTTCCCTCATCAAATTTTGGATTTGCCAAGCCTCCACAATCATTTATCAACTCCTTAAAATAATCTTTCTCTTTCCAAACATATCTCCTTGGCCCTCTTTCTCCAGAGAACTCCAACAAACTCAGCTATAGGAATAACACTTCCGTACCTGAGAGAACCCACTTTAATAAGCAAGTAACATATGCTCCCTCTCGTACACAGTCTACAGTGAGAAACACAGGCTCTGGACTCAGATGGCCTTGAGTTAAAGCTCCATCTGCTACCTGCCAGTTGTGTCTGGGGAAGTTACCCAAACTCTATACCTCAAGTTTCTCACTTAAAAAATGAGGATAAAAATGGTTCCTGCATCAGTGGGACCCCTGCCCGTACTAGGGATTGAACACAGGACCTTCATAATGAGCTACATTCCCCAGCCATATTTTTTTTTTTTTGGTACCAGGGATCGAGCTGGGGACCTTGCACTTGTAAGGCAGGCACCAGAACCACTGAGCTAAATCCCCGGTCTTCCCCAGCTCTATTTTTATGTTTTATTTTGAGACTGGATCTCACTAAGTCACCAAGTTGCCCAGACTTGATTTGAACTTGCAATCTTCCAGCCTCTCAGCTTCTCAGAGTGCTGGGATTACAGCAAAGGGCCAGGGGTTTTGTTTGTTTGTTGTTTTTTAAGGATTACATGGTGCAAGTAAGAGACTTTAACTGGTAGCTAGGAGCATTTAAACACTGAGTAAATATTAGCCATCATGATGATAAGGACCACAAGACTCAATTGATCCTTTTCTCATATTTCAGATGAGGAAACCCAGGTTCAGGGAAGTTTCCAACATTATCTTACCACTGGCAGGACTAGGATTCAAACTCAGGCTCTTAAATCTGAGTTTCTGTCACAATATTTAGTATATAACATCATTTAACGTAACATTCAGTACTTACTTTGATGTTTCATGGAGTTTCAGAAAGAGCACCTGATACCCAAGAGCTGTGAGTTCAAGGCCAGCTTGAACTATATAGTGTTCCAAAATAAATTTTAAAAAAAAGACTGAGAGACTGAGGTCACTAAAAAAGAAGTTTACAGGGACATTCGCTATAACCAAAAGGCTGGAGCCATTGTCCTAAACCTGTGAATGAGGTAGATTAGCGCTGGGCCAAATCCAGTGAAGTAGGTAGGTGTAATCTGTCAGTTATGAGACCCAGGGCACCTGCACAGAACACAGAATCCAGGATGACTCTGCAGTTCCTAAACACTGTACATGGGACCAATCAACCCTAGATATTAGGCAAAAATTACAAAAACTTCAGATGGGTCCCAAAGCCCCCCTACCACCCAACTGCTGGACAGAGCCTTTTCTGTGTTCAACAATCAGGATCTGGATGGGGTGTGCAGGGGGCGGGCTGCGTGGCCCCACCACAGGCTCCTCCCACCCCGCCCCCACCGCTACAAAGGTGCAGCCCGGGTGCGCTCCCTGCCGCTGCCCACCCGGTGCCCACAGCCTAAGATCCCCAGTTTTGACAGACTTCACCAAAATGCCATCCCAAATGGAACACACCATGGAAACCATGTTGTTTACATTTCACAAATTTGTCGGGGACAAAGGCTACTTAATGAAGGAGGACCTGCGAGTACTCATGGAAAAGGAGTTCCCTGGGTTTTTGGAAAATCAAAAAGATCCTCTGGCTGTGGACAAAATCATGAAGGACCTGGACCAGTGCCGAGACGGCAAAGTGGGCTTCCAGAGCTTCTTTTCACTAATCGCAGGCCTCACCATTGCGTGCAATGATTATTTTGTAGTGCACATGAAGCAGAAGGGAAAGAAGTAGGAAGAATTGAACATTTACTCGTGCCCAGATGAGAGTTCTCCCAAAGGGCCACTTACGGAATCTGCCCCTCAGTTTCTCCTTGTGTAAAGATTTCATGAGCAGATCAGGACCCTTAGAAAATGTACAAATAACATCCAGCTCGCATTGGACAAGCAGAGAAAGGAAAGTTAGTTAAATGCTAGGTAAGCTTTTGATTTTTATATTGTTTGCATCCTCTTGCCTTCAATAAATAAAGTCCTTTTTAAAAAACAAAACAAAACAAAAAAAACCAATCAGGATCTGGAGGAGAATGAAAAGTAGAGGAACCAAGAAGAAAAGCCAAAATTATGGCTGTTGTAACCAGCAATGCTTTAAGCACACCTAAGTCATCTAAGAGAAAACCTAGGCCAATCAAGGGAAGAGTTTCTTCTTTAAACGCAAAGAAACTGGACAATGGGCACACGAATGTAGCAGGCCATCAACTGGGCCCTGCTCTGTGTGTCGAGCAGCTAATGTGCCCAACTCAAAGCACTGAAGGATGGACTGTTACCACTCTCCGGGAGGGGCTAGGCCAGCCAAGAGGCCCATCTCCCCCCATGACAAAGAGGACAGAAGGGGCCCTGGCAAACTGCAATGCCCCTGTTTACAGACATCTCCACCTCCTGTGATCCCTGGATGCCATGGGTACGCAAATTCAACTCCTTTTAAATACAGGTGCAGCTTACTCTGTTTTAACTTCCTTTTCTGGAAAACTCTCCTCTAGAACTAGTTGGGGTTAAGGGAAGTCCTAGTCAGAGTTCTTTATTCCTGCTTTGACATGTCAATTTGAAGGTCAAATATTCAACTGTGAGTTTGTAATTGTTCCATGGCGCCCTAGTCCCTTACTAGGAAGAGATTCGCTAGTAAAACTGGGCAGAGCGTACTGCTTTTCCACCTTCAATAAATGTACATCCCACTACCTTTTCTGTGTGTCATGTCCAGTTCTCTGTGCAGGACACCAAGAACCTGGAAAGAATTTCTTCGGGACCCAAAAGCATGACCACCTGGATTTCAGGAAAGGTGGACCCCCACATAACCGAGACCACCACAGACAGAGACAATCTTTTCTTGGAATCAAAACCATCCCTCAACCATAGAGATCCCAGAACTCTTGACATCAGGACTGAGACAATGACCAACACCAGCCCACCACCAACCCTTGAGAGCTGGGCCGGTCCGAACCCTGGGATCACAGTATGCCTTCTCCAGCTACCTAAGCTGAAGTCCTTTCCTTTCTTCCCTCTAATGTTCCAATTAAAAGGTTTGGAGCTTTAGTTTTAATTTCCCTTTCCACTAAAACAAGGACTAATGCTAGCCAATGAGACCTGCACCATGTCCTTTCATGCCTCTGTCTTCACCAAGACCGATCCCCTTGTTCACATCGCCCTTGCCCACCTTCCTCCCCTGGCCACCTCTTCTTTCATCCAGATGCAGATCTAGTTACTTCCTTCAGGAAGCCTTCCTAACCTGCTCTCTGCTCCTACTCCCCACCACGTGCCCTCTGCCGGTGCTTCCATTGATAATGGTCTGGCCACTGCCTGGCACTGTACCTGACAGCATGAATAAGTACATAAACAAGTTCTTTAAAAAAAATTCACAGAAAGAATCCAAAGTTAAATTCAAACCTCAGTTTTATCAGAGTCATCATTTCCCAGTAACTCATCATCCTCTTCTCTCCCGGAGCCTCTTGCAGGTCCTGGTTGATGTTTTGGGGTTTCGCCAGGATCCTCAATGCTTATCGTGGTAGCATCTGGGTTTGTTGCTAGGGAAGTGGGTGCATCACCAAATTCTGAAACCAAGTACAACACAAAGGCTTCAGGGACCTTACACAAACTGGAAATGTTATGCTTTCACTGAAAGACAAGTTGTTACAACCTCAGCTTTGCTATGGACCCTATCCAAGACTAATAGCCACAAGCTTGGAAAAAAAATCTCATCTAGAAATCAATCTGACATTGAAAAATGATTATGAAGATAACAAGATTTGGAGTCAGAACTGGATGTTAGTCCTGGCTCAGCTACTTACTAGCTGCATGAGCCTGAGTATATGAACTACAAACCTCAGTGTTCCTACCCACACAATAGATAGAATAATATTTATGTTGAAGAATTTGGAGAGGGCCAGGAATGTAGCCCAGTGGTACAGCATCTGCCTAGCAAGCATGAGTCCCTGAGTTTGATTCCCAGTAACAAAAATAAATTTGGAAAGTGGCCAGGCTTGGAGGTGCACACCGGTAATTCTAGCACTCTGGGAATCTAAAGGAGGTGGCTCACAAGTTTGAGCCCACCCTAGGCAACTTAGTGACTTAACAAGACCCTGTCTCAAAATAAAGAACAAAAAGAGCCAGAGATGTAACTCAGTGCAAAAGTCCTGGGTTCAATCCCCAGTACTACACACATACAAAATTAGAGGGGAGAGCGGGCTGGGGATTTAGCTCAGTGGTGCCACCACCTGTCTTCAAGTGCAGAGTCCTGAGTTCAATCGCCGGTACAGAAAAAAAAAAAAAAAAAATTAGAGGGAAGAGTTTGGAATATTACCTAAGTCAAGTCCTTAGCAAAGTATCTGAGCCCAATCTAAACCTCCCTCCTTTGACTGAAGTTAAAAAAATTTTAACGGAAGTTATCTTTTCCAGTAAGTCCTACGTAATCACTATAGAAAATATGAGGACAAAAAAGTACAAATAATAGGATAAAAATTCCTCTTTGTCCCTTCACATAAAGGCAAACACTGTTAACATTTTGATATTTCCTTTTCTTTACATAGCAAGACTCATGCCAGTGATTGTCATTCATTCAACAAATATTTACCTCATGTTTCCAGAGTACCAAGTACCAACAATCTTGTATACTGCTTTTATCTACTAGTGATTACAAAGAAAACTTTTTTATAAGTCTTTGAAACATATAAGGAATGTCTGTGGAGAAAGCTTTTGAGTTACAGTCTTGGGATGACCACCTACCAGGGCAATCACTAGGTTACTAGGTTTAAGTTTCTTGAGCCATATTGCTAGCCTCCCTTCCAAAAGAATCTGACCTATTTACATCCATCAGCAGTGACTGAAACTTTCTGTCTCTGAGGATCCTAACACACTTTATTTAGCTGTACTTGAGTAAAATTCAGGGCAGCTCTGAGCCTTTGAAGGCCCAAGGAATAGTACCATTATTAACACTACAGGCATGGCATAGATCCTGCCCATAGAATAAGTGAGCTTACTCTTACTGCCCTTCAGCTAAATGAATAGTTTTATGTAGAAAACCAAAGTGACTGAAATTAATCAGGCAGCTAATACACAACAAGCCTCAGCCAACACTTGGGTTTTAAGCAGCATGAAGGTCTGGAAAGAGATGATTCTTTGTTCAAGTTAAGACTAAGTCCATGGGGCCGGGGATGTGGCTCAGTGGTGTCGTGCCTGCCTGGGAAGGGTACCAGAAAACAAAACAAATCAAGACTAAGTCCATGACACACAACCTCAGACTAATTACTCCCATTGAGTCTGTTTCTTCATGTATGAAATACAGATCATACCTCCTCATTGAGAGGATGTGAGTATGACATGAGGTTATAGACCATTAATTGCTGGATAGGGCACTGCCATTTAAAAAAATGGTCACGGGACCTTGCCAGAGGGACTCAGACCAAGGAAGATTTACTTTTCTTATTTTGAGACAGGGTCTCATTATGTAATTCAGGCTGGTCTTGAACTTGTGGCGATCCTCCTGCCTCAGCCACCCAAGTGCTGTGCACCACCACAACTGGCCAAGGAAGATATACTTAAGCCATATATTTAAAAAATTTTCCAGAGAAAAAGGCAAGCCAGGAGGAACAGAGAGGGGCACTATAGAAATACAAAGACCAGGGCCGGGGATTTAGCTCAGTGGTTTCAACGCCTGCTACACAAGCACAGTTTGACCAAGTTCGATCCCTGGTACCAAAAAATAAATAAATAAAATAAAATAAAATAAAAAAGAAATACAAAGACCAAGGAGACTCAAAGGAAGGTAACTCATCTACAGTAGCTGGAGATCCAGAAGGTGCAAAGAATGGCTGGAGGAGCTGGGAAAGCATCTCATGGAAAAGCAGGGAGATGAGCAGGACCCAAGAACAGGAAGTGTTTCCCACAGCAGAGGGACAGCAGATGGCATGGCTTGGCTGGAGTTTATGGTGTGTCTACTTCTAACACAATGCTTGCTCACACATTCTCTGCACATTATTCTTGCCCGCCTCTGCTCCTTGAAGGCAAGGCTGGTGTCTGACTACTGCCACCAGCGTTTTCCGCTTCTACACCCTGGCATCTCCTAAGACTGTTTTGCCTCTGTTCCCTTCCCCACAGAACATTTTCCACCTGAAGGCTCCAGACCTCCACTTTTTCATGCAACAGTACCATTCTTCCTCAGGGAAGCCTTCTAGGACTCCCACAGCCCTCTGTGTTCTTTTCTCAGGCCAAAGTCCTTAACACAGTTTATAAACCCTGACTGAGCTGCTGCCTGCCTCCTCTCCAGCCTCACCTTTTGTCAGCCTCCACTTGCCCTCCTGTCTATGGGGTGGAACACAGACTTTCTTCCAATCTTGTGGGAAAAAAAAATCACACTTCTTTCCTCCTCAGGGACTTGCACATGCTGTTCTCTATGCTTCAACTTTCTTACATTCCACTCCAAGGAAGCCTCTCTAATGAAGCAAGATTTGATCAGAGCAAGGGAGGGAGGCATGTGGTTAACTGGAGAAAGAATGTCTCAGACAGAAAGATGGCACAAAACCCCTAACTGTGACTGTACCAGAAACAGTGATGAGGCCTTGCTGCTGGGACAGAGAGAATGGAAAGGCAGGAGCAACAGGAGATGAAATCAGGGGAATGGAAGGCTAGATCGAGTGTGGGCCTCCTAAGCCACTGAAAGGCCCCCAGCTTTCACTCCTAGTAAGATAGGAGCTAATGGAAGGTTCTGAAAAAACAACATGACCTGACTTAGTTTTAAAAAGATTACCACAGGAGCAAATTATATAGTCTAGAGGGGCAAGGGAGGAAGCAAGAAACCAGAAGGATGGTAATAAGGGCTTTAATTAGGACAAAAGGTGCGAAGTGTCCCTGAACGTGGTGGGAGTAGAGGTGGAAACTGTTAGAAGTGGTCAGGTGCTACACGCATTATGGAAATGGTAGTATTTGTCAAAAAAAGTGGGTTTCTCTTTAGATATCACACCTCTTCCTCAGATAGTAAAGACTATGATACCAGAGTGCCGGGTTCAAATTCTCCCTTTATGGGGCTGGGGATTTAGCTCAGTGGTTCCAGCGCCTGCCTCACAAGCACATGGTCCTGAGTTCGATGCCCAGTACCAAAAACAAAACAAAACAATTTCTCCCTTTATGGTGTACTAACAGTGTGATCTTCAGGCAAATTGCTTGAATTTTCTGTGCCTCCATTTCTTATTGAGAAAAATATGGGAGCTGGGTGTGGTGGAGCATACTTGATATCCCAGCACTCTGTGGAGGCTGAGGAAGAAGGATCACTAGGAGTCTGAGGCCACCCTGGGCAACATAGTGAATTCAAAGCTTCATAGTGAGACCCTCAAAAAATCAAAAACAACAGAGAATAAAGTAACTATTTTATAAAACTGATATAAGGACTAAATGAATCACGTGTAAGACATTTAGAACAGTTCCTGACATATAATAAGTGCTATGTGCTTATAAAACACTAGGCAACCACTGTACCAAATTTCTGCTATGTGTACCGGAAGGGTCAGATGGCAAAAAGGAACAGCTGGTATGGACAAACATCAAAACCCTGGGTGTGACCACCAAACTCTTACCAAGGTGTTTGGAATAATGTACAAGCCATCTTAGCAGTGAAAATCCAGTGCTGTCACTGGCAAAAATAGCCATCATAAAGGTGGACATCCAATTGCTATACCTTCAAATCGCAAGTTATCCACAGCTGCCATTCAGCCAGTGGGTCTTCTCCCAGTTAGGAGGAGGAAAATGTGCAGGGGTCTAAAAGGAAAAGATAACACTTCATCAGATACCAAAGTAAAATATCTTCAAACAAAATGCATTTCAGTGCCAGAAAAAGTACTGCTTGGGCCGGGGATTTAGCCCAGTGGTTTCACCGCCTGCTGCGCAAGCGCAAGGACCCGAGTTCGATCCCCGGTACCAAAAAAAAAAAGTACTGCTTGCCCTTTGCACCTTTGTCGGCGGGGATAGGTCTACATAAAAAACTGTTATAAAATTGCCAGGTGTGGTGCCACATGTCTGTAATCCCAGCACTGAGGCTGAGGCAAGAGGATTGCTGCGAGTTCGAGGCCAGCCTGGGCAACACAGTTCAAGGCAGGTCTAGGCTACATAGTGAGATCCTGTCGCAAAAACAAAACAAAACAAGAAACTAACGCTGGTACTCCACAAGTTCCCTCTAATTCACATGTTCCACCGGGGTAATGTTTAGGGACAGGATGGATGCAGCCTGGGTGGCACGATGCGGAAGGAGAGGCTGAGGCTGGAGAGATGACAGGGAACAAAAGCTGTCCAGCCTAGACAGTGGTTAAGGACAAGGGCTCTGGAATCAGACGGACCTGAGTCTTATTCCCGATTCTGTTCCTTCTCTGCTGTGTGGGCGCTCCTCTGGGCCTCAGCTTCCTCATCTGTAAAACGGGTTCATAACGGCGCCTACTCACACAGTGCAGGAACCATTAAACGACACAGCGCGTGGGAGGCGCTTCGCACACGGCCAGGCAGCTTTGGAGGCGACCCTACAGCCAGGAACACCTCGAAGCACAGGCAAGTTTTAGGGGTAGGAGCTGAGCCGCAGCGGCCCGGGCACTGGCCTCGCTCACGTAGCCGCCTCACCTAGCTTACAGCCCAAAGACTCCCGGGCCTGAGAGGCTCCGGCAGCGCTTCCGTCCCGCTGAGTTGCCGGAAGCCGGACATCCGGGGGGCGGGGATTTCCCCCTCCTCCTCCGGGCAGAGCCCCGCCTTCTTAAAGGAGCAGCAAACCCCGGGAACCGCTCCCAGAGACCTCAGCGCGGAGAGAGCCCGGCCTTTGCCCCGCCCCC